GCCGAACCGCGCTTATTGTTCGAGTATTTTTGTTCCTTACATTGCATTCTTTCTTTCAGGTGAAAGCACATATAGGGCTATGACGTCATTCTCAGTGACAGTCACCATAGTATGGAACGTTGCCATCAAGTCAGTGGAAAGGTTTGTAAATTGCGATTCTTTAAAGGATACTCATGAGAAAGTAGTAGGAGTGAAGAACATAAATTTCCGTAAGAAATTCAAGATTCGGACGCTATATTTTGTTTGGAATAATTAGCTTTTTCATGTTTAATTAATTAGTGCTATCAAAGTAAAGTGCAAACTAGCTTCTTTTTTGGAACTCAAGGGCTAAGCTTTAGCATATATGATTCTGAATATAAAGGATATTTATCCTAAACCAATGGACAATGCAGAGAGTTTCGATGTCCAGGCAAGCAGATAATTCTGATCTATTATTTGTGAACGAGCAGCCTTTTTATTAAACATACTTGAATTGAATTAATTCACTGGTAAACTTTCAGTATCATTTTGTTATTTCAGGAGGCATTCTATAGAAATTTCACCTTTAAGAGTATAGGGTTTGATCGATGCTATTTCGCTGTTGTCACAAGTTTGCCCAAAAGGAGCCGCGGAATGAAAAACAGTATTGAAAGCTTGATTACATCACCGGGTTAGTATTTCTTTTTTTTATAATTTAAAATTTTAAGCTACAACAAAGCTACTCAAATACATGTCACTCACAATAGTGAAGGATGCAAGGTCATCTAGTCTTTCTTTACTGGTGTATTTTCAATTTGGATTCAAACTTTTTGTCAAGAGTCAAGATTTAGATGTTTTTACTTTTCAGTTTAAGGAAGAAATATTGCTTTCTGAATTTATTTTGTTTAAATTTTTTCTATTATAAGTGGGTGCTACTTTTTCTAGATCAAATACCTTGCTTTGTATTTCTTTTAAGCATCCGAAAGTATAAAAGAAAAGATTCAAAACTTTTCCATCCATTTTGGTACAATCATTGAAATAACAAATCATTTCTTATACAAAATTCTTCTCTGCTGGCAATAATATCATGGGAAATTTGTTTCTTTTCACTGATATATTTTATTCTCTCATTTTCATTAGATATATGCAACTACTTCGAGGATATAGATGCTGCTGTCCCTTTCTCATGTGGTTCGAATCTTTGTAAAATATTTCCTAACAATCTGAAGATACATTTTTTTAATTTACTTATTTCATGTGCAAAATCGTTCCATCTTTGATTCGTTTTTAATTGTAAAATCTATTTACAATGATTTCTCTAAAGATTTTAATCCTTTCCTCAGTTCTATGGCCTCTTAATGTAATTCTCTAAAGAATTCCTCAGTCAAAATTTTATCCAATTATCTAAAAATTCAAGTTTATCAGTACTAACTGAATTGCAATAAGTTATCACAGATTCAAGATTCGTTTTTAACTTTATTGTTCAATCAAAACTTTTGCTCTTTTGCAGCTTATATTGAAAATTTGGCATTGGTGCAGAGCTGCAACGCGAGTGGCAACGCAATTGTTTCTTGGAATTCGCCAACTTGTGCTTTTGATGAAATATTTGCTGAAGTTCACTCGTCTTGCTCGCAGCATATCAAAGATATTAATTTGGAAAAAGTACGTTATTTATTTTTGACATTTTCCATCATTTCAAGTTCTTCTTATATGCTTCACAAAATTTCGTTTTTAGCACATTTCTGTTGCTTTTACAAGATGCAGAAATGTTCAGTTCTTGTTAGAATCTTGTCAAAGTCCTGAGGCAGATTAAACATTTCAAATGAAATTATATTTGATACTGGTGGAAGAGGTGAGGAAATTGTTTCACAGCCAGCATAATTTTGGCCACAGTCGGTTGCAAAAGCATCCATAACTATTATGATGCAATCTCATTGTGGATAGCCTCGTTGTAGATAGCCTCGTTGCGGATAGTACTTTTGTTGATATCCTCGTTGTGGATAGCCTCATTGTGGACAGAATCTTTATACCACAAATAACGCTGTTGTCTATACTGTAGCAATAGCCAGGGTCAAACTACGAAGTGTATTTTATAAAGATATTGTCTATATTATCTATAGAAAGCAAAGGATATTTAAAACGTGGATGGCTCAGTTGTTGGAGGCGCTGACTACAGACCCAAGGGTCCGTGGTTCGAGTCCCTGGCATGACCAAACTTTCACCCAGAGTGAGGAGAGTCGCCAGCTCTCTGTAATTCCAGGCATAGGAATCACGAGATGTGGTCACATCGAGAGGATAGACCAGGGCACTGCTCGATAAGCATAAGCTTCTCTGTGTCCTAAAAACTACCTTCGGATGCTAGGTAGAAACAAATACAAAAAAATACAAATACAAAACATCGCTCCATATTCAATACTTCAGAAAATGGCCTTTTTCCTCAAAATTTGTCTTTGCCACATCAAATGGTTTTAGCAACGGCAAATGCCATGCATGAGATCAGGCTATCTTCAATGACGATTTTTTTACATGGTCCACCACAAATTAATACCGTTTTTTGAAATATTTTGTATGCTATTGTTAACTAAATGTCAGTAAATTATTGTACATTTTGGCAGGATGCTTCCACTGTGTTATTGGAGGATCTTCGAATTGGATGCAATTATTTTGTTCAAGTAAGCTTGATAAAGCTGACAATTTCATTTACAGCTGTATATTGTTACATTGTTTGAAAACCGAGTGAAACATGCACAAAATCAACAAATATTGATACTTCTAAAGCAAGCACCTGCGTCACATGTATTGAATTTCAGCTGAAAAATCTAGATAAAGAATATGAGCCTGGTTAGTAACTGGATTCAGCATTAGAAGTAAAGGAAATTTTGTCAACTCTTGAAAGCAAATAAGGGCAAAATTGACAAAACATACCGGCTGTAAACCCACAGTAGAAAGACTCTATTAGCATAATTGTGTTATTTTTATTTCAAAGTACTCGTTAAATTGCAAAAAAGAATTACCAACCCTCATTTGAATAACTGCAAAACAAAAATTTCATTTGATGTCGAAAAACATTGTAGATTTGACTATAATTACTCCGCTGTGACAAGTATGTATGATGAACGAGGCCTCCTAAAACATCTGAGTAGTTTTAATGTGCGACCGCTAAATTTTATTCTATTTCTGCCCTTTACCTTTTTCCAACGATGCTGTCTAATTTTCAATACTACACCTGTCTGTGGCGTCAAAATATACGTAAGCCTATATAATGTATTTGATATTTGGTTTGATTGCTATGATCCTGCGTTTTTGCACCATCTTTGACCATTTGGATTGTCTTTTTAGCTGCACATGGTCTTGAAACAGGATTCCAGCTGGAAAATTTCAGCGGGAAGTAATATCAGTTTTGACTGCTTGGCACTCAAAGAACCAGGTAGCGTTTAAAATGTCTTTCAAAAGAGTACCAAAGTGGGTCGTCATTAAAAATCTATTTTTAGAATTTCTTACGCTTTACAGCGTAATCTGAAGAACAGCACAAAATTCCTCTCAGGTATGCAAAATCAGTAAATTGTGTGGTGAGAAAGATTTCAATTTTTCTAACGGATTACTGTTATTCTGGCCTTGTTCAAAAGTTTTGAACAAAGACTAAATTACCGAGGTTCGTTGCGGAAAGAGCTTGTGTTTGTGTGGCCATATCTCCGCCAATTTGTAACAATTTCAACTGATTTTGTACATTTATAGGTATTTCATATCGCTCTTTTGAAATATATGGTGAAATTTCTAAAATTCTTGTCTTTGTAATTTGTAATTTCTATTCAATTAATTCCGCTAAGTAAACATCAATCTTTTTTGTAGGAAAAAAACAGCTGGCATCAATAAAGTTATCTCGGAAGCCTGAAAAAAGCTTTTTTTCTGCCAATCAGAATTTGATATTATATTTATCAATTTCCTTACTTGTGTTGGTAATTATTGTTATGGCTTTGATTGGTCGTCAAAGGCGAAGAAGAACTTTTCGCGGGTTTAAGGCAGCTAAAAAACATCCAATGTTAGCATTACATGATGCAGAACAAATGCAGTTGGGTAAAGATGCCGGCGAAAAAGGTATTTACGAAAGTTTCAATCGATAGAATTGATGTGGACTCTGTTTTCTTTGGAAGACTAGAGGTTCAAATTCCATTCAATCTTTCACTGATTTATATATATATATAGTTGGAGATAACTCTAGGGCCCTACCCTCTATGACAAAATTTTAAGGATCTTAAGGCGTTGGACAACTTGTTACATGTGAGGTAAGGTGCAAAACCACGCACGAAACGCATTAAATCTGTAGATAAGTTCGAAATTGAAAAGAGCGCTGAAATCAAGTGGAAATTTATCCAACTTGTCCCTGATAATAGTTTTAAAACATGAAACTTCTTCCCTGTTTGTGCGATCATTTATCTGTCTGCATGAGCTGAAAGAGTCTTTGGCTTAGACTTTCAAAGCAGCATTTGTTAATGGAAATTTTTATTTGTTTAGCCATATCAGTAATGCTTCTTCATGGAGCTGGTTGTGAATATTTGAAAGAGTTAGTGCTGATATTTGCAAGCTTTCTCAATGCAAACGGGTTCAACGTGAGACTTGACTTGCTGGAGACAAATCTCATGGCACACATGAACACTGCATCCTATTACGAGAGCGTTGAGAGGGAATCAGATTACGTCATCATTATTTGCTCAGATGTTTCAGGTGTGACATTTAATCCATTTGAAATATCGCTAATTGAAATCAGAACCAAAAACTTTCTAGCTAAGGATTTAGTAACTGTTTTTATGGTTTTTTATTCTGTTAATTTCGTTCTGTTAATAATATTTTGGATTTTGACAATTGAATTTTGTTCATTAATAATAGACCTCGTTGATCAACAGAAGAATTTACAAATCTCGATAATATAGGCTGCCATTGTGCTTATTGCCGCTTTCGCCCGATTTGAATCATGGCTCCGCGAACTCCGAGATGGTCTATCGTTCAAGTTATTATTTTGTATCCTCGGGTTGTTTTTATGCGAAACATTTTAAAAATCAAAGTTAGCGATTGTCTTTAAGACTGATTTTGTGGCGTAAACAATTCCTCGTAACCAAAGTTTTATGAATTTTAAGTCCCAAGTTCTTATTCTCAACAGCGGTTTGCATTCATTGTCTTTAACCCCAGAAAGCTCGAAAAGTAGCAGTTTATTATTTCAAACTTAGTTAATTAATGCATCACTGCACACTTTCGAATTCATTAGCCTGTGTCCCATACCCCTAACTTGAAAGTAGAGGGTCTGTGTAACCAAGAGCAAAATCGCGTACGAGCGTTTCCACAGGATTTGGGAAAATTAATTATGCGTAAAATATGCGGGATCTTAATGACAAAAGTGAGCAATGGCGTAAACCGAGCGTATTTTGCTGCGACAGTTCACGCATTCAAATAGCAAAAAGAATAAGTGCGTATTCGAAGTTTCTATTTACTAATATTCACGCCTGAAAGACTTTGACGCCTAGAAAATTGTTGCCTTGTCTGAACATATGTTTAATGTTTCAAAAATCTTTAGCGTTTTTCCCTATCTGTAAACTTGTGTTTATAAGTAGCGGTCATTTTCTGCTGCTTGAAGGCAAAGCGTCTTTTTTACTTTTCGATTCCCGGTCATTTCTTATGTAATCCGACAACCATATTTTTCGGCGTCGTATATACCACCAGATCTTACCCCATAAGAACCAAAATCCACCTCTACATTCTAACTAGTAAATAGCAGTCTTCTACCATACAAAAACTGAACGCTCTAGTCGATGCAAATCGACTCGACTGATTTCCAAATAAAATCTTCTTTGACTCCTGCTGTAGATTCACCCCCATCCACTGCTGTAATTTGTAAATACAATCCTTTAATGCTGCGTTTTGGTGGTTTTCGTCGCAATGAAGTTTTCGACAATGAATAGCTCAGCAGCATCCTCAAACCTTTCTCCCAGCAAATAATCTATTTCGTACCGCCACGACCGTCTTGCAATATGACCGCTCTTGTTGCATAATGACACAGATCTGTGATAATTATGCAAAGAATTCAATTCAACCCCCGTACGCGATTTTGCTCTCGGTTACACAGACCCTCTACTGTCAAGTTAGGGGTCTGGAGCACGGCTAGATTTCATGGGCTCCGACACAGGTCGGAAAGTGGGGGGGGGGGGGGAAAGGAAAAATTTAACACCCATAACAAAATATTTTGTGAAAAGTTCTATTGTTTTGCAAGAAAGTAGGGGGGGGAAAGGGTCCCCCGGCCTCCCTTCATTGGAGGCCCTGGAATTACCATCCTCACAAATGGTCATCACTACACCAGAAGTATTCCTTGCACATACAGAGATATTTTTCACTGCTTTTTAGTTGACTGAATCAGTTACTTTGTTAAATTGGTATTTCCAGTTTCCAATCTGCTTTTATACAGCTCGTTTTTTGTCTTGTTTCAGCCACGGGCTGTTCCCAAGGCAAGGCTTACAATTTCATTTTGGATATAATCAAGCACAACATCATGGACACACAAGATCGCTCAAAATATATTCCTGTTTATTTTGACAAATTGTCTACCCTGCCAGATGCATTGCGTGGTTTTGCAAAAAGAATACCCGATGAAATGGATCAGATTTTAGCAATGCTTTTGAGTATTCCAAGATATTTTGTATCAAACGAAGCAAGTCTTCCTGTGAAAAATGACATCGTAGTCAGTGACCAATTGACCTCTTTAAATATATGCATAAGCAGCGTTTTGGAGAGAGTTCATCCGAGTTGTCCTATATCCCAATGCAAAAGGGTAAGTGGCTTTGAAAAAAGCAAACATTTTATAACATATTGCTTTTTTATAATAAATTGTTTGTTTTTCTCAAAGCCATTTTCAAGTTCTGTACTGCCAAAAAAGGGCAAGTATTAAATTCGATTTTTCAGCATTGATTTATTGTGCTATTTTTTTGTAACATTTTTTACTTTTTGGAATTTTTTTTTAAGTGTATTCTTTCAATTCATCTAAATCAAGTCCTCAATAGATGGTTAAGGTTATGAATCGTGATGTACACACATTTTTTCAATAAGAAATCGATTGCCTCCACGGAGACGATATTCCTTAAGTTCTGTCGAAAGCATATGATTGTATACCCTATGAGTTACTAATTGCTAAACAAAAGGCCTTTGGTTTCAAGAAAAATACATTGAAACCAGTTTACAGTTACCTTACAAATAGAACTCAAAGAATCAAATTAGGATCAGCGTATAGCTCACCAAAACGCGTCTTATGCGACCCTTGTTTTTCAATATATTTATAAAAGATATGTGCTATATAGAACGTGAATCACAAATATGTAACTTTGCTAATGATACGGCAATATACACACGCGACACCACTGTCGGAGCAGTCATAACAAACATAGAGGGTGACCTACAAAAGTTGGTTGATTGGTTTTCAGAAAATGGCATGAGTACTAACCCTTCAAAATTCAAAATGATGTTTCTAAAACGAAAAGTCAAAAACAAACTATGCCTGAACATGAAACGCCTGCTAATACAACCAAGCAAAAATGTAAAACTTCTTAGTGTTCATGTCAATAACACACTAAAATTCGAAAAGCATATGAAAGAGCTTTGCAAAAGAATTTGACAAAAATGAGTGCATTTGGCAGGTTAAAACCATTTTAGGGTCACAAAAGTAAAAAACATTGCTAAATTCTACTGTGTTGTCAAACTCTTTATATTGCCCTTTGATCTGGATATTCTGCATCAAAGGTGCAAATAATGAAATTGACAAGACCTACAAACTAGCACTGAGAATATTATATGGGGATGACGATTCCACATTTCAAAAACTGCTGGATAAGGATGGAACGAAAACATTACATAAGAAAAAGTTAGACAGCCTTATGGTAGAAATTTATAAATCGATCAACCACATTAATCCGGAATACATATGGGAATATTCCGTATAATTTCAGAAGTAAGGAACTGTGCAAACTCCCCTTAACAAAAACCCAGCGTTTTGGTATAAACTCCCTATCATTTAGAGTAAGTTTAATGTTTAATATTTAGACGATCGTATAAAACTTGCAACCTCCCTGAAAAACTTTACAACTGAAATACGCAGTTGGGATGGATATAGATGTACGTGTCATATCTGCACTTGGTTTTTATATGTATTTTTGTAAATATTTCGTCTAAATTAGTTCCTTAACTATAAATAAACCAACTGTATAAAAACTTTTTACGATTATGATATGATTATAATTAATGAAATTAAAGTATCTTTTACTTGCTCAATTTTCTGTTAACTACACTAACAGGAAAAAAGTATTGCAACACCTAACAATATTGACATGTTTCACTGCATTAACTCGCACGTCGCTAGTTTATGATTTACCAATTTATATAGGCCTAAATGTACCCAAAAAATTATCCAAGTTGTATTGGAGAATTTCGAGGCTAAAAGAGTCAGAGCTAATAACTTTATTTGTTGTTTCCTAAACCTTAACTATTTTGCTATCATTTTCTATAAAAAGTTGCAAAATCTTTAGAGTCGAGAGACCAGTTACACGAAGTTTTATCACAACTACTCGCTCTTTATCTTGTCAATATCTTGAATTTACCACTGCAGATATTTTTTCTTATAACTGTATAATTTCTCACGTTAATATTGTAACTCTAAGTTTTTCGAAATCCTCAATAAATTTCAAAGAATTTGATTTCTGGTTTAGCATGATTATGCTTATTTTTGAGGGGAATATTTCAGCGTAAAGTTAAAAGTTTACAAAACTTCAAATTTTTTGGATGCCATTTTGATAAGGGTGTTGCAATACTTTTGTCCTGGTAGTGCAGACTATTGAATCTCTAGTCTTTAAATTATTGAAATAATCTGTTTTTTCCTTAGGGTATTGCATCTTTATCAGCAGCTGAAGATCTTGCATGCAGTTTCCCTGAAGTACTTGACCAAGTATGACCAAATTTTCATAAAAACTGATGTTTTATATAATATATAGTTTATAAGGTATAGCTCTTTATTTTTCTTTTTGCAACCTTTCTGTTTTGCAGCAATTTGAGTTGCTTTAAATTGAAAGTAATTATTCTATATTTTGCCGGGCCTTTAAAATTTTGTGTTACTGTATACCAAATAATCTTTTTATGTACTTGAATAGTATAAGGAACTTATTTTTGCACTTTGGTATCAGCAATTCTTGTTACACGTTAGATTCCCATCTATAAAAAGGCATAAACATTGATAGTTAGTAAGTAGTTGTTAGTTAGTTAGTAGTTGTTAGTTATTGTAGAATTAATTTTAAGCCATGTTGAAGGGAAGCATCAAGTTTAGTGAAACAGTTGGGGTCTACGAGCTTGTACTTCAAATACGTCATAGTACATTCATCTACAGACTTTTTGAAACTATTAACAAGGTGAAGTCGGTGAATGAAGAATTCGCAGGTGGCTTCTTTAATTTTCAATGGTGGCTAGATTCATCGAATCTTCTTAAAGCGAGATAACATGTATCCACATTTGGCAGTTCTTTAAAGCTCTCCCGCCAGGCAGTGCAGAAGATGATAAATAATGAATGTTTGACATAGAAGGCATTGCCGCCTTTGCTGGCCATTAAAAGCAATAAGCAACCTGACGATAGCAGCTAATCCTTATGATCACGTAGCAATAGAGGATAGGTACATGAGTACAAAATGGACCAGTCGGAAGATGGGTATGGAAATCAAGGCGATGGAATCGAAGAGCTGTATGCAAAACCGTATAAACTGGGTCGGAAGAAGCCTGCACCAGATATGAGTAACCAGTCTGATGGCATTTATGACAGACTTGATCGACAGAACAGTACGAAAAACAGAAACAGGTCGTTAAGGCGTGACGGCTCTACGATTAATGGCTCGATGCATGATCATGACGATATCAGCATGCCAGAAGCACAAAACCTACGAAACAACCAGCCTAGCCTTGACAATCTCGGAGACAATAGTGGTGATGTATACGATGATGCTGCGCTCGAGGCTTCCGGGCAAAGAAGCTTAGCAAGCCAGTCGATAAGCAGTAATGTCTCTGAAGAATCGAACAAAGACTCGAAACCATACCAGAGTGATCTTTTAGAAGCAAAGGACACGAATGAAATCATCAAAGAGTTGAAGGAGATGGGGCTGGAAGATCAGTCTGCGCGACTAGCTTTGGCACTTCGGGCTCGTTTTGACTTAGAGAATGCATTTATAGATGTTTGCTCAGACGATGGGGTAGTCATTGTTGAGGGAGACTACGACGATGAATCCAGTGGACATCAATCGATTGGGGGCCTCAGAGTAAAGGGAATGAAGCCAAACTTTGTCAACTATGATGAATATGATCCAGATATTATCAAGAAATATGGCTATTTTGCGCAAGGTTTTAGCAGAGAAAAAATGGCAAATGACGCTGCAGATTTAAGACGTCACGCTGCGAACATGCTATGGACGGTAGAAAACATGGAACGAATGATTGACCCGAATTCAAGAGTTCGATATGTTCGGCAGGAAAATGGTGAATGAATTTGTTGCCAATTATTGATAATGCACCCATGGCAATGAAAGTAGTACAACTGTTCTGAGCATATTTACAAAAGTAGCAAAAATAAGCATTCTATGAGTTTTCTTTGAAATGCTACATACCCTATACAGGTAACAAAGCACCTAGTTTAGAATTTCTAATCCGCATTAGCACCGAATACTTAAAGTAAGTTGCACTTTTCTACTTGCTCGATGAGGTTTTTTAATCATAAAATTTAAACCAAAATCTTTTGTAAGGCTATGATCCTTGAAAACAGCACCTCTTTGATACAAAAAAGTTGAAGAATCTGAAAATATGAAGTATAAGGTAACAAATATACGTTCCAGATTTCCAGACTTTTCTCAATGGGACTATTTTTGCTTTGGTTTATAGAAAAGGACAGTTCTAATTTTTGCTTCAGACTTAATGAGATCATCAGACAAAAATCGTAAACTGATTAATTCTATATAATATACTTTACCAGATAAAGAAAATCGGGCAAATCTCTGATGTTTTCGAGAGGTGAGATATTGGAAATTTTATATTCAGGTTGCACAATAAGAAATGAAGTTTTTTATAGGAAATGCTTTCAAGTTCAGAAAATTCGATCAGCTTCCACTTGTTTTGATTCAGGCAAAAGTGATTATGAATATTATGATTAAATATTTTGTAAATAAGGGGTAAAGAGCTCCAAACTCACTAGAAAACTGAAATCTGTGCATTAACAAGCATTATTTACTTTCTAATTCAAAAATGTTGTCCATATTGCTTGAAAAGATTTAATAAAATAACTTGTGCCTTTTTATTCCATCGCCTTAAAACTCATTATGTTAGAACATTAATAAAATTATTTGATATGAATAACACAAACATCAAGATCTTTAGATAACAATAGTTTTGCTTTCCAATCCTAGAGCTTTTAAACACGTTCAGACCATTTTTAGTGTTCTTTACAATAATTTTAGCCCAGATTTGAGAAAAAAGATTACTTTAAAAAATTGCGATTCGAAAGGCTATGGGCTTACGTTTTTGTGAAACTTTTTCACCCCAAATTTTCACGTATTCTGCCATCTCTAGTAGATGCTAAAGATCATAATCAGCTTAAAATCATTTTCAATGCTCTTGGCAATCATTTTGGAGTAGATTTTAGACATAAAGTTGACCTTGAAAAAATGCGATTTTTTCAAGGCTAAAGGCTTAGGTTTTGGTGAAAATTTCAAACCCCAAACTGTCACTTATTTTGGCATCTCTAGAAGATGCTATAGCTCAAATCAACTTAAAATCATTTAAGTGTTCTTTGCAATCATTTGGGAGTAGATCTTAGACATAAAGTTGACCTTGAAAAAATGCGATTTTTTCAAGGCTATAGGCTTAGGTTTTGGTGAAAATTTCAAACCTCAAACTGTCACTCATTTTGGCATCTCTAGAAGATGCTATAGCTCATAATCAACTTAAAATCATTTTAGTGTTCTTTGCAATCATTTAGGAGTAGATTTTTGACAAAAAGTTGACCTTGAAAAATTGCGATTTTTTCAAGGCTATAGGCTTAGGTTTTGGTGAAAATTTCAAACCTCAAACTGTCACTCATTTTGGCATCTCTAGAAGATGCTATAGCTCATAATCAACTTAAAATCATTTTAGTGTTCTTTGCAATCATTTAGGAGTAGATTTTTGACAAAAAGTTGACCTTGAAAAATTGCGATTTTTTCAAGGCTATTGGCTTAGGTTTTGGTGAAAATTTCAAACCCCAAACTGTCACTTATTTTGGCATCTCTAGAAGATGCTATAGCTCATAATCAACTGAAAATCATTTTAGTGCTCTTTGCAATCATTTAGGAGTAGATTTTTGACAAAAAGTTGACCTTGAAAAATTGCAATTTTTTCAAGGCTATAGGCTTAGGTTTTGGTGAAAATTTCAAACCTCAAACTGTCACTCATTTTGGCATCTCTAGAAGATGCTATAGCTCATTATCAACTTAAAATCATTTTAGTGCTCTTTGCAATCATTTAGGAGTAGATTTTTGACAAAAAGTTGACCTTGAAAAATTGCGATTTTTTAAAGGCTATAGGCTTAGGTTTTGGTGAAAATTTTAAACCCAAAAATGACACTTATTTTGCCATCTCTAGAAAATGCTATAGCTCATAATCAACTTAAAATCATTTTAGTACTCTTTGCAATCATTTGGGAGTAGATCTTAGACATAAAGTTGACCTTGAAAAAATGCGATTTTTTCAAGGCTATAGGCTTAGGTTTTGGTGAAAATTTTGAACCCAAAAATGACACTTATTTTGCCATCTCTCGTAGATGCTATAGCTCATAATCAACTTAAAATCATTTTAGTGTTCTTTGCAATCATTTTGGAGTAGATTTTTGACAAAAGTTGACTTTGAAAAATTGCGATTTTTTCAAGGCTATAGGCTTAGGTTTTGGTGAAAATTTCAAACCCCAAACTGTCACTTATTTTGGCATCTCTAGAAGATGCTATAGCGCATAATCAACTGAAAATCATTTTAGTACTCTTTGCAATCATTTAGGAGTAGATTTTAGACATAAAGTTGACCTTGAAAAAATGCGATTTTTTCAAGGCTATAGGCTTAGGTTTTGGTGAAAATTTCAAACCTCAAACTGTCACTCATTTTGGCATCTCTAGAAGATGCTATAGCTCATTATCAACTTAAAATCATTTTAGTGCTCTTTGCAATCATTTAGGAGTAGATTTTTGACAAAAAGTTGACCTTGAAAAATTGCGATTTTTTAAAGGCTATAGGCTTAGGTTTTGGTGAAAATTTTAAACCCCAAAACTGTCACTTATTTTGGCATCTCTATAAGATGCTATAGCTCATAATCAACTTAAAATCATTTTAGTACTCTTTGCAATCATTTGGGAGTAGATCTTAGACATAAAGTTGACCTTGAAAAAATGCGATTTTTTCAAGGCTATAGGCTTAGGTTTTGGTGAAAATTTTAAACCCAAAAATGACACTTATTTTGCCATCTCTCGTAGATGCTATAGCTCATAATCAACTTAAAATCATTTTAGTGTTCTTTGCAATCATTTTGGAGTAGATTTTTGACAAAAGTTGACTTTGAAAAATTGCGATTTTTTCAAGGCTATAGGCTTAGGTTTTGGTGAAAATTTCAAACCCCAAACTGTCACTTATTTTGGCATCTCTAGAAGATGCTATAGCGCATAATCAACTGAAAATCATTTTAGTACTCTTTGCAATCATTTAGGAGTAGATTTTAGACATAAAGTTGACCTTGAAAAAATGCGATTTTTTCAAGGCTATAGGCTTAGGTTTTGGTGAAAATTTTAAACCCAAAAATGACACTTATTTTGCCATCTCTAGTAGATGCTATAGCTCATAATCGACTTAAAATCATTTTAGTGCTCTTTGCAATCATTTAGGAGTACATTTTTGACAAAAAGTTGACCTTGAAAAATTGCGATTTTTTCAAGGCTATAGGCTTAGGTTTTGGTGAAAATTTTAAACCCCAAACTGTCACTTATTTTGGCATCTCTATAAGATGCTATAGCTCATAATCAACTTAAAATCGTTTTAGTGCTCTTTGCAATCATTTAGGAGTAGATTTTTGACAAAATATTGACTTTGGAAAATTGCGATTTTTTCAAGGCTATAGGCTTAGGTTTTGGTGAAAATTTCAATCCCCAAACTGTCACTTATTTTGGCATCTCTAGAAGATGCTATAGCTCATAATCAACTTAAAATCATTTTAGTGCTCTTTGCAATCATTTAGGAGTAGATTTTTGACAAAATGTTGACCTTGAAAAATTGCGATTTTTTAAAGGCTATAGGCTTAGGTTTTGGTGAAAATTTCAAACCCCAAACTGTCACTTATTTTGGCATCTCTAGAAGAT